GGTTTCACAAGAGCTTCCAGACTAGGATGGACTAGAAAGAAAGGCTTGGTGATCTACTTCTGACAATCAGCCAATGAAAACCCTATGGATCACAACAGTCCGATCTACTACTCATCATGGGGATTATAATGGGCAGTGTTACGTTCAGTTGTGCACAGGGTTGCCATGAGTCAGGGGCCGACTCCAGGGCAGCTAACAACAACAACGTTATGGCTAATAAGGAAATGGAGCCAAGATTTGAACACAGTTTTCTGTCTCTGGAGAAGAGCTATCCAAGAGTTCTCCTAGTCTTTTTTTGATTTCTCCTGTTCATGGTCGATGGTAGGAGCAGAGGAATAGATTCAGTGTGAGAATGTAAGTGAAGAAAAGATGGACAGAGCAGCCATAAGCTTTGTTTTGTTCTATGTTGTCAACACCAGTGATTTTCAGTGTTTTTCTCCTTACTCCTGGAAATCTTGACTGCTAGCAGGAACGCACGAGAGCAGTAACATACTTTGAGATACAGGGTGGAAACTCCCAAATTAAATATTCTCAAGTTTCTTACTTCTAAAAACTTTATTACTTTAAGTTGGTTGTAATTTTGATGTAGTCCCTGGGAAGCTAGGATTTAAAATATTAGCAACCTACAATATATATGTATATAGAGACTCTCTGGTCACATCAGATTACCAAAGTTTATGACTTTTAATTTAGATTTGATGTGTATCACTTCTTTGATTTGAAAAGATTGCTTGCTCTATCTGAAACATTAACTGCATTCCCACAAGGAAAATCAAGATGTAAAACTTCTAAGTAATGGCATTGTTTACTAATTTTTCTAAGATACCATAATTCAAATTAGGCTTTTAAAATTTCCTATATAAATTTTTCCTTTTGACATTAGTGTGTTATTTTTCTTCTCAGAAGCAGTTTTAGAACACTCAGAAAGACTTTTTTAAAATAATTTTTTAAATTGAAGTACAAAGAATTATCCTTTTTATAGTGATACAGGGACAGTTTCCGAATTCAAGAAGGATTTTCTTTATGTTGTGTGTTACTCGTATTCATAAATGAATAGTAAAGATAGTTATTATTTTATTCCTTTGTTGTTAGCATTATTTCATTGTGGTAGTAATAAAGCACTATTTGACTTTATTCCTAATGTTTAAATTGCCTAACTTGATGAGACCCTCAAAATTTCTTACTATACTTACTCATTCAGAATATGTTTTCATTAAAAGAGATGTATACATTGTTTAGATAATGTTAGGGATCGTCTTATTTAAATATAGTTTTAAAAACTTTTAATTTCCTTCTAAAGTGTAAAGTATAGAAATATTATTTTCCATCCACTGTTCGGGGGTTGAGCATACGAAAATTGGTAAGGCATTGTTCCTTCAGTTGAGATGCTTATAGTTGAGTAAAAGAGTCATATGTGTAGGCTGATGCTTATAACAGGATTTTAAGAGCTATAATTGAAGTTTACCTAAATTGGTGTGGGAGCAGGTGGGGGATGATTAATTTAACCTTCTGGGGGAGAGGAAAGGGTAAGAGAAAGCTCTGTGGCTTCTTTTATAAAATCAAACAAGATTTTCCAGGTGTTGACTGATGATTCTAATATTTTACTGTTTGAAATTAGATATGCTTTCTTCTGGGATTTTTTTTTTCCTCTGTATGAATCTTTTGTTTGAAATGTATTATCTTTTGTTTCTAACAAGTAGCATTAGAAAAGTTGGGTAGATGAGTGATTCTGCAAGGGAAGATGAATCCAAGTGTCAAGATCTGAATTTATGGGGATTCTTTTGTCCCCAGACTTGAAGCTCCAGGATGTAATTATCCCAAGGGAACTGCAGGGTTTTTTTTTTTTTTGTTTTTGGCTTCATAGAGGAGTCACCATCTGAGCTGGGCTTTGAAAGATGAGTAGAATTTTCCAAGTGGGGAAAATGCTTTCTTGGCAGAGGGAAAGTCTGATGATGGGAGACTCAAAGACAGAGTTAGAAATTAAGGAAGACTCAAGAGTCTACCTGTATGGGGTTAGGGTGAATGGTAATACTATTAACTGAGGAAGGGAATTTGGAAGTATACTTGGAAGTCGGGATGGAATGTGATCTCTCTCTTGGGCAACAAGAGTGATGGTGAGAAGGAGAGAGGAAAGTTAGGAAAGAATTCTTGTGAGATTGCTCCATGGGATTCAAATTTTGTCTTGAAGTATGAGTTAACTGGATGGCAAGAAAGTGGAGAGAGGTGAAAACATTTCAGGTAGAAGTATTTGCTTAATAGGACAGCTTGGAGGTGTAAGAAAATAACCCGAGTATAGAGAACTGCTTGTGGTTGAGTGGGGATTGTAAGTGGGGGTTGACAGTGTCCCGCAGATCATGTGTGTCTTGATTTTTATCTTGAAGACAGTAGTGGTGGTGGTTGGAAGCTATTGATTTTAATGAGGGGAACGATTTATCATATGAGATGATCAGCAGGCAGTTGAAAATATGTGTTTGAAGCTTAGGAAAGATGTTAGGATTGGAGCATAAATTTAACTAGGGGGTTATAATGATGGATAAAATGTGCTTCACGTTTAGTCATGGGGAAGACAGATAAACAAAAATTACAGTATGTTAAATGTTGTAGTATGAACTGCTAAGGATTGATATACAGGAGGAGGAATCTACTTAGAACTATGGATTTAAGAATCATGGGTATATGGGTGGTGTTTGAAATGGAGAATATCAATGAGATCTTATATGAAAAGACTTTAAAGAAAGAGTTGAAATTTAAAGATAGAATTCTGGGAAAAAGCAACTTTTAAAAGATAATAATTGAAGAGGAGTCATCTAAAAGCCATTTTTAACACAGCATTGCAGCCCATTCATTAGTAGGTTATAAAATCAATAGAGTGGGTGTGAAATCAATATGGTGGATTATAAATAGCTCTTTGAAAACATGGATTAGGAGAGAATAGAAAATATCAGGGTGCATGTCATAAACGTAATTATAGTTTTGTGAAACTTTTGTTTCAGAGGGATGTATGCATGCGTGTATTGAGTGCAGTGTAAAATGCATTTCTTATCATGGGTCGTGGTCACCAACTTTTGAAAACACCAATAAAAGGGATTAAGAATGAGCAGTCAGAAATAATTTAAATCACTTTTGTTCTTGTTATTATGAGATGTCACATTTTTGAATGGTATTATATTAGAGGCATTCTTAGAATAATCTTATCAGAGACGCACATGAAATAAAAAAAAATTGACTCTAATAATAAATACCTATAACCCATTGGCGTTGAGTCGATTCTGACTCATAGTGACCCTATAGGACAGAGTAGAACTGTAGAACTGTCCCATAGGGTTTCCAAGGCTGTAATCCTTACCGAAGCAGACTGCCACATCTTTTTCCTGGAGAGCGGCTGGTGGGTTCAAACTGCTGACCTTTTGGTTAGTAGCCAAGTGCTTAACCACTGTACCACTAGACCTAATAATAAATAGTAACTGTATTATAAATGTATAAAAGGAAAAACCATTTTACTTGTATTTGTTGCTGTTGTTGTTAAAATGTTAAACTCTACAACTTATTCATTCCAAAGATATTTATTTGGGACTTACTATGCAAGGCCTTGTGTTAAATTTTCAAAGGCTGGGCCAAATAAGATATGGTTCTATCCTCCAGGAGCTAACAGTCTAATTCAAGAGATAAGAGAAATGTAGTGTATGGTAAGTTTTATATGATAGAGTATTGAAGATGGAGGAAGGAAAAATGTTGTTTCTTAGTGTTTTTTTAAACAGTAAATTGCTGTATAAATCCAACACAGTTTCATTATAACCATTGTTTCTGTTAATGTGCTTCGTTCGGTATAAAGAAGGTGACATATAAATTGGGCCCTGATTCATAGACTTTTGGCAGGTGAAATGAAGGGGAAGAAGCCATTCTAGGCAGAGAGTATTATGGAAGTTTGAAAGTACAGTGAAAAACCAGTGGATGAGGAGTGGTTCAGATTGACTAGTGGATTGAGCAAATGAGTTAATATAATGGGGGCTGACACTGTAAAGGTAGCTTGGGTCTGAATGTGGAGCAGTTGGAATACAAATCCAAGTAATATGGATGGCACCCCCTGTTTTCCTCAATCCTGCCGTGGCTTGCTGTGGTTGAGTCTCCTCTTGCTGCCACTATCAGCCCCTCAGTGAAGGCTGAGAGCCTCAGTTGTTTGGTACCTGTCCCATCATCACAAAAATTGTTGCTTCCCATCGTGACATTGGTGTTGCTAATGCTTTTGTTCTCTGAGATACTGTAAGTCAATAGTGAGAAACATCTTTTTTTTTTTGTTGTTCTTTTGCCCACCATTCTCACTTCTGATTTCAGATGTCTGTCCATGGGCTTAGTCTGAATCCCTGTCCAAGTGACAAGTATGTTGGCTTCATAGCTCATCAGTCAAATTTTTGCGCCTAGGTGATTTCTTACCCTAAGATAAGTTTGTACCCCAAACGTTCCTCATTTCTTGCTCCTTGAATCTTCAGGCATATGTAGACTTGTCTGAATCCTAAGCTGAAGGCCACTTCTTAGCTCAGATTGGGACCAGGACCCTTGCTACATGCTCTGTTGTGAAAAGAGTGCTCAAGGTGGGGAATTCCCACCATTTCCTCTTTTCCTCCATGGAACAATGATGTGTACCTCTGTGGAATTAGATCTTATCTGCATAATCTGTTGGGAGATTTGACTCACTTCTTCCTGGTTTTTAATCCTTAAAACTTTCCATACCTGTTCACTGGAGTTTGGTAAAGATTTGAATACCTAGCATGTTTTCCTTTCAAGTAAGTATTGGTAATTTATTTATTTTTGTCTGGTTCACTTGTGAAGAATCCTGATAAGCCTTTTTGAAAACTCATCATTTGGAATTAGTTTAGAATAGCAATTTATTGAAAGGCACTGTATTAGAAATGTTTTATTGCACTCCACTAGAGCTGTGAAGTGCAAGGAACCATGAAGATTGATAAATACAAATGATAGATGTGTCTCTCCTTATTTTGTAGCCTTCTTTGAATCCTGGGGGGAGCCAATCATCTGATGTAGTGCTTCTGAACCACTGGAAAGTTAGGAATTTTGAAGTTCAGCGTGGTGACATTGTGTCATTGGTGTAAGTACATCAGAAACTTTCTGTATTGTATGTAAACTTATTTATATTTATATTGGTTTGTCTGGTAATTTGCTGTTAATATGATATTGCCAATTATTAAATTAGTGAGTACATTTTAAATACGTATACTGTAGTGTTTTTTCAAATCAATTTTGAAATATGACAATGCTATAAAAAGTGAATTTTCCTTTTATACTAAAAATATATCAGTTGATTGGCATTCTTAAAATTTGACAAAATGTGTTTAACGAAGTAGTGATTAGAAATTATTACTTTGATGATCAAAAATACATGCATTTGCTGTTATTTTGGATTATTTTGAAGGTTTACATCTTGGTAGGCAACTTTTATGCTACCTGCAAATTTTCTTAGCTTGTGTCACCATAAAATATTTCTACAAGATGGTAATTATGACATGAAATTCAATGATATTTATATATATCAGGTGTACTGAAAAAGGAAATTTGGAAGACTGGTAGAATGGAGGCTTTTGTTTGGGGCCGAAAGGTGGCACTGTTTCTCTGTAAAATGTTGAGACTGGTGAGGAACACAAATTTCATTCCAGTCTTAATGTGGAAAGGGAATGTCAAAAAGTGTGTGTTACTGACAAAATGATAAAATACATAGTCCTGGTACACGCTTGAATGATTTTGGCTTGAGATGTTCAATTTTGTTTTGTTTTAAAAGTAAATTCATACTGAGAAGACTGCAACAGAATTTCCCTGATTTCTTTTGGTTTCAGCTACTTATGAAAATATTTTAATTTGCTTCCCTGTTCTGCCAGTTACTGCATTGGGGTAGCAATTAATGCAGTAGTTTTACTGCCATTTTTTTTTTTTTTTTTAACAATTGTAAAAACCTACTGTTTATTGAGGACTTTTCCAATTTATGTTTCTTATTCTTGAATTGGAATGACTGTTTCTTGTTGGGTGATAATAATTGTTTTGTAAAAGCAATACATTTTTCATACCTACCTTTGGCTAGTGCTTTGTGAAAATAAATAAGTATTCTCTAGATGTATTTCCTTCCAGGCTGTTCTCCTAGGATTTATTTGAAAACGTAGTAACCAAATCTGGTTAAATAACTAATGAATAAATTAAATTTGAGTGGAGTTTTGTATGGCAGATATCCAAGTATGAGGATTAAATGCTTCCTGTGTTCTTCACTGGTTTCTTTAATATTAACCTACTCTTTGGAGTATACTTTTTGTCATTCAGAGTACTGTTTTTGCAGCCTCCTTAACAACCTTTTCCATGCTGGGTTAGCCTGTTGTGTGCTCATTATTCTTTTGCCTTTGGTTTGACAAGGTTACATCCTCACTTAGTTGGTGATGGAGAGGATACCCACCCAAGTGGAAGAGGTCACACTATAAGCGGACAATTGTGCAGTATTTATGTATGTGTGTGTGTGTGTGTGTGTGTGTGTGTGTGAGAGAGAGAGAGAGAGAGAGAGAAACATGCTGACTGTCTTTAAGCAAGTGAATTTGAATGGGTAATTGAAAAAATATATGTATATACAGTATGACATATAAGCTCCTTGAAACTCAGGATCGCATGGGTCCATAAAAGTACCCTAGTGTATCATATTGAAAAGAGAGCAGTATTAATTTATGTAAATGTTAAACTGATTGATATTTATTATATAAAATAATTTCAAAAATAGTATGTTAGAAATTGAGATTGATATAATAAATTATAGCTACTTAGGTGGAACTGTATCTTTAATGAGTCAATAATGGACTCTATCTTGTCATGTACAAATAACAAATTTTCTTTCATGATACTTGTTGGTAGCAGACCATTTACATAAATAATACTTAGTGACAGTTATCATATTATCTAATAAATAATCATTAAGCAACAATTGTTGCTTTCTTTGAGGAAGAAACAAAAAGTCACACTAAAAAAATTCTTCATTCTTTTCTGTGATTTAATACTATAAAAACCATTATTTAAAATTTAGTTTTAATTTTATTAGCAAAAATGCTTTATAGATACATGTCCTCATATTTTTGTACATTTTATAGGCTGTTTCATTTGAAAAGATTGATGTTGGTTTGATTAATGTTCATAGTATACATTCAATTCATGTCAAACCACACTGAATATTTACTTTTCTTACAAAATGCATCAGTCTGGTTTAACATAGATGATAATTTTCTTTACTTCATTGGAATAGCATTTCTGCTATAATATTATATATGCATTTCAGGAAAACTTTGCAGTTTGTAATTTCATACTAAAATTAGTAGGACTTGTGCAACTATTATAACCAGAGTACTAGTAAAATCCATAACAATTTCAGTAAAAATACGAGTGCAATTTAAATGACATGTTAATTTTTTAATAAATAGTGTAGAAAAGATAGCATTTTGCCTTAAAAAAAAAAAGGTGAAGGTAGCTTGACAGAAGGTGATATAAGGAAGGGCTGATGCTGCTAAAATACGGCTACAAGAGCAGCCTCATCAGCAGTTGCAGGTAGAGAAAAGATTGCAAGCTTCGTACAAAATGGACTGATGCCAGAGTTGTATGCTTGTACATAAAAAATAAAATAAAGATTATTATTTTATTTTACTTATTTATACTTTTAATCTTTTTAAACAAAGTTCAGGGTCATCCTTGCAATAAACACTTCTTAGAGAAGGGTTAAATGCATAATAATTCTTTTCTAGCTTGCTGCTGTTAGCATACTTGGCCTTCAGTTGCTGTTATTAATGAGGCAAACATTAATGATCTGGGAAAAATCACGTATGAACCAATGTAGCTTCTGCTTTATATAGAAATTCTTTCCCTATTTACCAATTGCCTGGGAGCTAGTTCATGTTGCAGAAACTCATGCTGTTGCATAAAAGACTGTTGCTTCTATTGCAAGGGGCTTTATTCAGAGCTTACTGACCCAGGCTGTTTCCTAAATCGTGAAAAGTCAGAGGGCAGGAGGTAGATGCATGTGGGCTATATACTTCTTTGCAGCTCCTCGTATTTTTTCTTGTCTTCTTTTTTTCTTTTCCTATAAAAAGCTATTGTTTAAGCTTGTTATCTAGTAATATTAATTCAATAGGTATATTTATCTAATAGCATTATTGATCACACAAAACATGATGTGCGGTCACACAATGGGTTTATGTAGGTGGCATCATACTCTCTTAGTGGATTTGCAAACTAATAGTGGTGATTAAGGTGGATTTTCTACACCTTGGAATTGACTTTTCATTAACCTGTCTGATGACCTTGCTGCAATAGGCTTAATGTAAGTAGTACCATTTCACAATGATGTATCAATTAACAAGTCCGTTGGGACAGAGATTCTTTCATACTAATGTTTTAAAAAGAAATCACCTTTAAAGATGTTTTAACTTTTTATTTTGAAATAAATTTAGACTTAAAGAAAAGTTATAAAGATAGTATAGAGAGTTCCTGTACATTGGAGTCAACTCAACGGCAACAGGTTTGGTTTTTTTTTGGTTTTGTACACTCTTTACCAAGCATCCCTTAATATTAATGTTATACATAACCATAGCAAAGTTACTGAAACCAGAAAATTGTCATTGATGCAATACTGTTCACTAACCTATAGATCTTATTTGAGTTTCATTGAGTTTTCCCACTAATGCCCTTTTTCTTGTTCAAGATTCTACCCAGGATGCCACATTTCATTTTTATTTTTCTTCCGTCTTCTCCAATTTGTGACCCTGTCTTTCTTGTCTTTCATGACCCTAGCATCTTGACGGGTTACAGGCCAGTTATTTTGTAGAATGATTCTCAGCCTCTTTAATTTTTGAGGTCAGTTTGTCTTCAAATGGAGAAGCATTGAGGTTGACAGCCGTTGCTGAGAAAGGTGCAGCAGTGGTGGAAGCTGAGTGAGGGAGAAACTATGGCAGGGTAGGCAGTGTGGGGAGGTCGATAAGACAGGGACAGATGACAAGTAGATCGTGGCGTCACTCTTTCAGGCACAGGTCTTTTTAGTTACTTGGTACCACACACCGTGGGTCATGACTAAAATGGTCCGTGGCTTCTGGAAATAAGTCCACCCAGTCAAGTTTATAGCTGTTAGGAAGCAAGGAGGGGGAGCTGTGCAGGTAGGGGAAAAGGCTACTGTTTATAGTAGAGCTTGAAGGGAAGGAACTAGAGCTAGGTCACTAATTAAACTATACTGAGCAAGTGTTCAGTTCTAGAGGAGAAAGTTAGGGTGAGAAAATTCTTATTGAACGAGTATTTCTGTTTATCAGGTGTAGCACAAGTGCCTTGTATATACCATTTTTATTAATTCTCAGAACAATATCTGGAGATGGTTATTTTTAACGTGAGGAAACTGAGACCCACAGAAAGTAAATGGTAGAGCCAGAATTTGAATCCAGGTTCATTTGACTCTAAACCTGTACTGCCCAATAGAGTAGCCACTAGCTGCATGTGGCTCTTGAGCACTTGAAATGTGGCTACTGTAACTTGTTGAAATGATAATATTTTAAATATAGTCAGTCAAGTAAAATACATTGTTAAAATTAATTTTATCTTTTCTTTTTAATGCAGCTAGTGGAAAATTTAAAATTACATATACGAGAAGTATTATATTTGTATTGGACAATGCTGTGTCTAAACCTTTTTCCTTTATACCAGGGCTTCAAACTGATTCAAAACAGTTCAGTCACGGCCAGTGGAAACAAGGGCAGCATATGCATTGCATAGCAACCAAATCTCTTGCCGCTTGGATTTTAACTCAAGTAGGAAACAGTGGTGCCCTGCTCAAAGATGGAGAGTGACACACGTTCAAAGTGGCATGGTTCCTACTTGGGTCAAAAGCCAACAGGCAAGAGATTTGGTTGCTGTGTAACATGCATGCTTCCCTTGTTTCCATCAGCCATGAGTAAACTGTTTTGAACCAGTTTGAAGCCCTGCTTTATACCATGCAGCTTCCCTGAAGTCTGTCTAAAATCCCAAAGTCTGAGGTGGAGAGACTCTAAGCTAGTGGCTATGAAGCAAGAGCAGACTCCAAAGGATAAGTAA